TAAAAAAGAAAACTTCAGGCCAATATCCATGGTGAACATTGACGCAAAAATCTTCAATAAAATACTGGCAAACAGATTGCAACAGCACATCTTATCCATCACGACCAAGTAGGCTTCATCCTGGGGATGCAAGGCTGGTTCAACATACGCAAATCCATAAATGTAATCCATCACATAAATGGAAGCAAAGACAAGAACCACATGATTATCTCAATAGTTGCAGAGAAGGCCTTTGATAAAATTCAACAGCCCTTCAAGCTAAAAACTCTCAATAAACTAGGTATTGACAGAATGTATCATAAAATGATAAAAGCTATATATGACAAACCTACAGCCAATATCATATTGAACAGGCAAAAGATGGAAGAATTCCCTTTGAAATCAGGCACTCCTATTCAACATAGCATTGGAAGTTCTAGCCACCACTCCTATTCAACATAGTATTGGAAGTTCTAGCCAGAGCAATCAGGCAAGAAAAAGAAATAAAGGGTATTCAATTAGGAAAGGAGGAAGTCAAACTGTCTCTATTTGCAGATGACATGATTGTATATCTAGAAGCCCCCATCGTCTCAGCCCAAAATCTTCTAAAACTGATAAGCAACTTCAGCAAAGTCTCAGGATACAAAATCAATGTGCAGACATCACAAGCATTCCTATATACCAATAACAGACAAACAGAGAGTCAAATCAAGAGTGAACTCCCATTCACAATTGCTACAAAGAGAATAAAATACCTAGGAATACAACTAACAAAGGATGTAAAGGACCTCTTCAAGGAGAACTACAAACCACTGCCCAACAAAATAAGAGAGGACGCAAACAGATGAAGAAACATTCCATGCTCATGGTTAGGAAGAATTGATATCATAAAAATGGCCATACTGCCCAAAGTAATCTATAGATTCAATGCTATCCCCATCAAGCTACCAATGACCTTCTACACAGAACTGGAGAAAACCACTTTAAACTTCATATGGAATCACAAAAGACCATGCATAGCCAAGACAATCCTAAGCAAAAAGAACAAAGCCAGAGGCATCACACTGCTGGACTTCAAACTATACTACAAGGCAGCATGGTACTGGTACCAAAACAGAGACATAGACCAATGGAACAGAACAGAGACCCCAGAAGAAACACCACATAGCTACAACCATCTGATCTTGGACAAACCTGGCAAAAACAAGCAATGGGGAAAGGCCTCCATGTTTAATAAATGGTGTTGGGAAAACTGGCTAGCAATGTGCAGAAAGCTGAAACTGGACCCTTACCTGTCACCTTACACTAAAATCAACTCCAGATGGATCAAAGATTTAAACATAAAACCTAACACCATAAAAACACTAGAAGAAAATGTAGGCAAAACCATCCAGGACACAGGCATAGGCAAGGACTTCATGACTAAAACACCAAAAGCAATGGCAATAAAAGCCCAGATAGACAAATGGGACCTAATGAAACTCCAGATCTTCTGTACAGCAAAAGAAACCATGATTAGAGTGAATCGGCAACCAACAGAATGGGAAAAATTTTTTTCAATCTACCCATCTGATAAAGGGCTAATATCTAGAATCTACAAGGAACTAAAACAAATACACAAGAAAAAAACAAACAACCCCATTCAAAAGTGGGCAAAGGATATAAACAGACATTTTTCAAAAGAAGACATATATGAGGCCAACAAACATATTAAAAAATGCTCATTATCACTGGTCATTAGAGAAATGTAAATCAAAACCACACTGAGATATCATCTCACACCAGTTAGAATGCGATCATTAAAAAATCTGGAGACAACAGATGCTGGAGAGGATGTGGAGAAATAGGAACACTCTTACACAGTTGGTGGGAGTGTAAATTAGTTCAACCATTGTGGAAGACAGTGTGGCGATTTCTCAAGGATCTAGAAATAGAAATTCCATTTGACCCAGCAATCCCATTACTGGGTATATACCCAAAGAACTATAAATCATTCTACTATAAAGACACATGCACATGTATGCTCATTGCATCCCTGTGTACAATAGCAAAGACCTGGAACCAACCCAAATGCCCATCAATGATAGACTGAACCAAAAAAAATGTGGTACATATACACCATGGAATACTATGCAGCCATAAAAAACGATGAATTTGTGTCCTTTTAAGGGTCTTGGATGAAGCTAGAAACCATCATTCTCAGCAAACTGACACAAGAACAAAAAGCCAAACACCGTATTTTCTCACTCATAGGTGGGTGTTGAACAATAAGAACACGTGGACTCAGGGAGAGGAGCATCACACACTGGGGGCAGTTGGGGGGGCTAGGGGAGAGACAGTGGGGGGTGGGGAGGGAGGGGAGGGTGGGGAGGGATAACATGGGGAGAAATGCCAGATATAATATGCACCTAAAGTAAAATTTAAAAAGTTATTAAACATTAACAAAAAAAAAGAAAGAAAAATGTTTAATCAAATCTTTTGCCCATCTTTTGATCAGGTTATTAGATTTTTTTCCCTATAGAGTTTTTTGAGCTCCTTATATATTCTGGTTATTAATCCCTTGTCAGTTGGGTAGTTTGCAAATATTTTCTCCCATTCTGTGTTGATTGTTTCCTTTGCTGTGCAAAAGCTTTTTAACTTGATGTGATCTCATTAGTCCATTTTTACTCTGGTTGCTTGTGCTTGTGGGGTACTACTCAAAAAAGCTTTCCCTGAGTCCAATGTCCTGGACAGTTCTCCCAATGTTTTATCTTAGTAGTTTCAATTTGAGGTCTTAGATTTAAGTATTTAACCCATTTTGATTTGACTTTTGTATACAGCAAAAGATAGGGGTCTAGTTTCATTCTTCTGCATATGGATATCCAGTTTTCCTAGCACCATTTATTAAAGACACCGTCTGGTCCCTAGCCCATGTTCTTGGCAACTTTGTGGAAAATGAGTTCACTGTAAGTGTGTGGATTTGTTTCTGGGTTCCCTATTCTGTTCCATTGGTCTATGTGTCTGTTTTTATGCCAGTACCATTCTGTTTTGGTTATTATAGCTCTGTAGGATAATTTGAAGTCAGGTAATGTGATTCTTCCAGTTTTACTCTTTTTGCTTAGGGCAGCTTTGGCTATTTTTTTTTTTTTTTTTTTTTTTTTGTGGTGCCATGTTAATGTTAGGATTATTTTTTCTATTTCTGTGAAGAATTTCATTGGTATTTACATAGGGATTGCATTGAATTTGTAGATTGCTTTGGGTAGTAGGGAGTATGGACATTTAAACAATATTGATTCTTTCAATCCAGGAACATGGAATATATTTCCATTTTTTGGTGTCTTCTTCAATTTCTCTAATCAGTTTTATAGTTTTCATTATACAGATCTTTTACTTTGGATTATTCCTACATATTTAATTTTATTTGTGGCCTTATAAATGAGATTGCTTTTCAATTTCTTTTTCAGATTGCCCACTGTTGGCATATTGAAATGCTACTGATTTTTGTATACCGATTTTGCATTTTGCAACTTTATTGAATTTATCAGTTCTAATAGTTTTTTGGGTAAGTCTTTAGATTCTTCCAAATATAAGATCATATCATCTGCAAACAAGAATAAAGTGACTTCTCTCATTCCAATTTGGATGCCCTTTATATATTTTTCTTTTCTGATTGCTCTAGCCAGGACTTCCAGTATTTTTCAGTATATTGAATAATAGTGGTAAAAGTGGGTATCCTTGTTATGTTAACCTTTATTCTTATACCAAGTTCATCTGACAGGAGATGGTTTTTCTTCCTTTCCCCATGTTCAAATTACAAGGATTTTTGTATATTCCACAGAAAAATAGACTCCTGTGAAGGAGGTGGACATGGACCAGGGTCAATTTCTCAGCTGCATGGCTCCAAGGCTCTCTATTTTAATACAGGACTGAAAATATAGCCTTTCTATGTAGCTTATCTCTGCTTGTCAAAGTCAAGTCTGGTTGGCAAGATTTTCTATCTCTAGTTCTGTATTTCCTAGAGGTCAATGAATCTTGTCTTCAAGATTACATTTATTTTCAGTGATTTTCTTCCCCTGGATTATTCCACTGGGTCTACCACAACACCAGTCTAATAAAATAATGTTTTACCATTCCCAATCTAAATCTTACTTCTCCCTATTATTTATAACTGATCCTGCCCTGCTGTATTTTACTTCGTTCCAGCACTTTTCCTCTCAAGCATGTGGGTCAGTCCTCCTGGAAGGATACATGTGCTGAATATTTCTGATATTCTTCAGGGTTTAAATCACATTCAATTCAATTCTCCTGCACCCGCATATGCACATGCAGATGGGTTTTTGGTTTTCTTTTGGTGGTGGTTGTTTTGCATTCATCCAGAATGTATAGTCCATGAGATAGTTCTCAAAACTGCTTACCCGTAATTCTACTCAGGTAGAGTCCTCTCTTTTTGGAAGTACTTGTTAGTAATTTTGGTAACTGCAGCTCATAGTAGCCTGATGGTGACCCCTTCACTCTTGCTGCTTCCCACCCACCTTTCTGCTGATTCTATATCTCTCCTGTTACTGGGTACGGAGGCACATCTGCCCATATTCTGGGAATTGTAGGGATTATACTGTCTATATTTCTTAAAGAGCTAATTAATACCTGGTCCAAGAGTAGTTATTTATCTTTGAGAAGACAGGCTTCTCTTGGGTGAAAAAATTTAGATGTAGAATACCTGCAAACATTTTTGTAGTCTGTATTAAAATGCAGCTTAGTCTCACAAAGAGAACAAAGAAGTCAACGCTGCACTGGTCTTGTGGGAAATGTGTAACTGCTTATAGATAAGATTTCTTAGAAAACCCACTTACTTATATGAACCAAATTTATTCCAGGGACTGCTCTCAGTTTGCAAAGACTGAATTCCTAGAATAATTAAAACTTGAAGCTATTTCTTTTTAAGAATTTTTAAAATGGCAGATAAACTCCATGATAGTATAAAGTCTTTTAGAATGTAGAAACAAAACACATTAATAAAATCTCTATTAGGGTGAGACTTCTAATGAAAGGAAAATATTAATGCATTAATTTATTAAATATTTAGCACTACTAATATATGCAAGTACCAATTTCAAAAATTCCATTATATAAATCAATTGAACATCTATGTCAATCAATATTAGTAATACTCATAATCTGTATAATACTTTAACAAAAATAAGTTTTAACATTATACAGAGGAAGAATAAAAATATCAGTATCTACCTAGGTAAAATCATATATTTAATTTTTCAAAACAGTTTAACACTCAACATTTCTATTATTCCAACTTAGAACAAAGACTATATATATAGCTGAGATAATTACCTGTGCAAGGTTTTCATGTGGTCACATTTAAACCAACAAAGCAAAAAATATTCATTAATTAGCACAATACAAAATGATATTATTTTACCATTCCCAAGCATGAAGATAATCAAGGTACATCTCTAACATATTTAAATTAGTCCTATAAATAAACCAGGCATTCTCTTTTCTTGTTGTGTTGTTACCGTACAGAAAAAAAAAAGTTTCATAGCGTAATTAATGCTTAGGAATACAGATCTCAGAGCCAATACAATTTTGGTTTAAATTCCAGTGCTGCCATTTACCAGCTGTGAGACATTGGACTAATTTCTTAACCATACTAAGCCTGTTTTGTCATCTATAAAATGAAGAAAATGGATGTTACAAAGATTGAGATAATATATGTATTACGAGTTTGTGTTCCTCTAAATTAATATATTGAAACCCTAATTCCCAGTATCTCAGAATGTAAATGTATTTGGAGATAGGGTCCTTAAAGGGGTAATTAAAATAAGGCCACTGGGTGGGCCCTAATCCAGTCTGACTGGGGGTTCTTATAAGAGGAAATTTGGACACAATAATAGATGCCAGGGATGTGTACACACAGAGGGAAGACTGAGGACACAAGAAGGTAGCCATCTACAAACCAAGGAGTGAGGCCTCAGAAGAAACAAATCCTGTCCACACCTTAATCTCAGTCTTCTATTCTTCAAAACTATGGGAAAATAAATTCCTATTGTTGAAGCCACCCAGTCTTTAGTACTTTGTTAAAGCAGTCCTAGCTAATTAATATAGCATGTAAAGGATTTAAAACAGTTTATGGAAAATGGTAAGTAATCGTAACTGTTACTGCTATTTTCACTATTTTCCCATGGCTCTTCTAATATTCAATTCCAAAAATTACACATGTAATTTATTTATTTATTTTTATTTTATTTTTGAGGAAGGGAGGAAGGCATGAAGGGAGGAAAGGAGGAAGGGAGGGAGGAAGAAAGGGAGGGAGGGAGGGAGGGAGGGAGAGAGAGAAGGGGAGGAAGGAAATCAAGCAATGAGAGAGACATTGTCGACCTGGATCTAGAGGTCTACAAGTTGATTTCTTTTTTTCTTTTTTTGAGAGAAGGAAAGAAAAAAAAGGAGTGAAGGAGAGGAAGAAAGAGGAAGAAAAAGAGGGAGAGAGAATGAAAATGTTGCTTTATTCTAAAAAAAAAAATGGCTAATAATGGCCAATCAATGTTTCATTTAAACCTATGAGTAGGTATGATGTGGTATTGACAAGAATGTATATTTTGTGTATTTAAAGTGGAGAGCTCTATAAATATTTATTAAGTTTACTTGTTCCGGCTTGAGTTCGAGTCCTTGATATCCTTATTAATTTTCTGTCTCACTGAGTCTAAGTCTCTAAGTATCTGGGTGTTAGGATCGTTAGCTCTTGTTGTTGCATTGATCCTTTTACCACAATATCTTTGTTGCTTTAAAATCTATTTTATCCGATATGAGAATTGCAATTCCTGCTTTTTATTTATTTATTTATTTATTTTTGCTCTCCATTTGGTTGGTAAATCTTTCTCCATCCCTTTGTTTTGAGTCTTTGTGTATCCTTGCATGTGAAATGGGTCTGGATGTAGCATACCATTGGGTTTTGGCTGTATCTTTTGATTGGGGGATTTAGTCAATTTAAATTTAGGGTTACTGCCATTTGATGTTAACTGGCTGTTTCATCCATTTGTTGATGTAAGTTCTTCTTTATGTTGATGCTCTTTACTTTTTGGTATATTTTTAGAAAGGCTAATAGTGGTTGTTTCTTTCTATGTATAATGCTTCTTTCAGAAGCTCTTGTAAAGCAGGCCTGGTGGTAATAAAATCTCTAAGTTCTTGCTTGTTCATAAAAGATTTTATTTTTCCTTCAGTTGTGAAGCTTAGTTTGGCTGGATATGAAATTCTGGGCTGAAAGTTCTGTTCTTTAAGGCTGTTGAATATTGGCCCCCACTCTCTTCTGGCTTGTAGAGTTTCTGCTGAGAGATCTGCTGCAAGTCTGATAGGCTTCCCTTTGTGGGTAATCTGACTTTTCTCTCTGGCTGCCCTTAGTATTTTCTCCTTCATTTCAACCCTGGTGACTCTAATGATTATGTGCCTTGGGGTTGCTCTTCTTGAGGAATAACTTTGTGGTGTTCTCTGTATTACCTGGGGTTGAATATTGTCCTGCTTTGCTAGTTTAGGAAAATTTTCCTGAATAATATCCTGAAGAATATTTTCCAGCTTGGATTCATTCTCTCCGTCGCATTCAGGTACACCTATCAAACGTAAATTTGGTCTTTTCGCATAGTCCCACATTTCTTAGAGACTTTCCTCATTCCTTTTTATCCTTTTTTCTCTAATCTTCTCATTTTATTTCATTAAGTTGGACTTCGACCTCTGATATCCTTTCTTTTGCTTGAACAATTTGAGTGTTTAAACCTGTGTATACTTCTCAGAGTTCCCGTATTGTACTTTTCAGTTCCATTAATTCACTTATATTCCTAAGTTATCTATTCTCATTAGGATTTTGTCAAACCTTTTTTCAAAGTTCTTAGTTTCTTTACATTGGGCTACAACATGTTCTTTTAACTCACAGAAGTTTCTTATTATCCATGTTCTGAAGCCTGATTCTGTTAATGGGATGTGCTCGTTCTCCATCAAGTCTTGCTCCCTTGTTGATGAAGAACTGTGATCCTCTTTAGAGGGAGAGGCGTTCTGATTTTGAGTATTCTCAGCCTTTTTATGCTGGTTTCTTCCCATCATTGTAAATTTATCCACCTGTCTTCTTTGTAATTACCAACTTTCAGATTAGGTCTCTTGAGTGGACGTCCAAGTTGTTAATTCCCATGGCCGAAATATGAGCAACCCACTGCATCAGCCAAAACAGCGGGGTTAAGACTGATGGTGCTTTTCTGCCCAGGAATCTCCAGTCTGGCTTCCTTCTTGAGTCTGTAATAGGCGACTCTGCCTTCCCGGAGCTCCAAACGTCAGTCAGAAGGGGAACCAGTCCCGTTTACTCAGCACCAAGAGCTGCCGTGCCGAGGTGCCAGCAGAACCGCTGTGCCGGCCACAAGAGTCGCACTGGTGACCTGTGTGGCTCCTCCTAACCTCGGTCAGAAGGGGAACCAGTCCCGTTTACTCTGCACTGAGAGCTGCCGCGCTGGCAACCCGTGGAGCTCCTCCACTGGGAATCTTCTGCTCCGTGAGCAACCAACATTTGTCTGTAAGTGTGGCGTCCTCTCGTTCTCTGAGCTTTCACTGGGAGCTGCAATCCTGAGTTGTTAGCCATCGGCCATCTTGGATCGTTCCCCCTACACATGTAATTTAATCTTTAAATGTGGCTAAGGAGCAAAAGACAAAGAATTTGTTGGGAGAGGCAGTCCACTATGGGCTCTGAGCATGCCTGCACATTCTTCCTGGGTACCGCCTTTTCTTTTTCTAGGCCATTTCTAAGGGTTGTGTTTGTAAGTAGAAATCTTAAGGAAGGATGTAATATCTTCCTTCTGACAAAAAAATAGGCTTGTTTCTGCTTACTATAACAGTGAACTCATCCAAGCTTGATGTTCCTCTCCTGTAACATAACCCATTATGTGTGCAGACATTCCTTACAGGCTTTTTATGTCATACAATGAGATTGGGGAAGCACAGGAAACTGATACAAATCAACATGAAGCTATGGATACTATAAAGTCCTTTGTCTTTGATCCATGAGTCTCATGTCTTCTGCCAGCATCCCATGAAATTTTAACAGGCTAACTTGTTAGCATTTAGTTCATTTTGTGCTGCTATAATGGAATACTACAGACAGGGTATTTTATAGAAAACAGAAATTTATCTCCCACAGTTTCGGAGGCAAGATCAAGGATTTTGATGAGGGTCCAGTCTTTGCTTCTAAGATGGTGCCTTGGATGCTGCATCTTCCAGAGAGGAGAACACTGTGTTCTCACATGGCAGAAGGCAGAAAGACAAAAATGAACAAGCACTGAATTCCCACATGGCAGAAAAGCAGGAAAGGGTGAACCCACCCTGTAAGCTCTTTTTATAGCAGCATTAATCTATTCATAAGGGTGGAACCTTCATGACCTAAACACCTCCCATTAAGTTCCACCTCCTATTCCTGTTGCATTAGGGATTAAAAAATTCCACACACATAAATTTCAGGGGGACACAGTCAGACCATAACATCTTGTAAGTAGGGTAAAATCTTACACATTTCATAGTTCTTGACAATTTTGGCTAACAAAGCCACAGAAATAATTAATTGGGAGGGCATTAGACAGAGGTAGATCTAGTACTCTAGGTTCCTATATAAACAAACTGAAACCCAAATCGGTGAAGGGCCCTAGCCTAGGAAAATGAAACTTAAGTATAACCTATCAGAAACTCCCAACTAAGCTCTAACTAGGGACTTTAGAAATTGCCAGCAACCCTCTAACCAGAGAATTTAAAGCTATTGCTCCACTTTAACTAATCAAATATTTTCTTTGTCTTGCTTCCATAAACACTTTATGAAAGTTTTCCCCTTGAACCCTTTCATTGGAGCCCCAAACTGCCGGCAGTCTGGAGTTGTTCCATTCACAAATCACTGCCTGCTCAAATAAATCCTAAAAGATTAATGTACCTAAGTTTTTTAATACTGGAAAACATGAAGGCCTTAATGGCTAGATTAGGAGATGTGAGATGATTCTGGGATTTAGTAGTGAATGCTTTTATCCAAGCAGTGGGAAAAGAAGTGGGAAGTAGGTTTCCTCTTATCTGTTAATGAATGTTTAGAGACTAAACAGTGAGAAGCAGAGTTAAAACAAGCTACCTAAATGGTGTCTTGGTTGTTGCTCCCTGACTTCAGGGTAAGAGGCAGAAGATACTGACATGACAATGAGGCAACATCTCCAGGGCCCTAGAAAACAAGAAATTTGGCTGTGGAGTCAAGGAGCCCACAAAGCTGAAACAAATGGTATCAGCAATAAGAAAAGAAACTTTGACTAGATTGAAAATACAAGTTTGTTGAGGCTGAGTTTGGCAGTCAATCAAAACTAAAAGTACAGCCCCGTGTTGCTTAACCAAGGGGATACATTCTGAGAAATGCATCATGAGGTGATTTCACTGTTGTGTAAACATCAGACAGTGTACTGACACAAACCAAGATGGTACAGCCGACTATATACCTAGGCTATATGGTATGGCCTATTGATCCTAGGCTACAAACCTGTACAGCATGTTACTATACAGAATAACATAGGCAACTGTAAAACAATGGTAAGAATTTGTGTGTCTAAACCTAACGAAACACAAAATGGTACAGTAAAAGTATGGTATTAGAATTTTATGGGACCATCATCTATATGTGATCCATAAAATGACTAAAATGTCATTATACAATATAGGTTTGAACTGCATGGGTCCACTTACACATTAATTTTTTTTCTGCTTCTGCCACCCCTGAGACAGAAATACCAGCCCCTCTTCCTCCTCTTCTTCAGCCTACTCAACATGAAGATATGATGAGGATGACAGCCTTTATGATGATCCACTTCCATTTGACAAATAGTAAGTGTATTTTCTCTTCCTTGTGATTTTGGTAACTTTTTTTCTAGCTTACTTAAGAATACATTATGTAATACATATACTAAATATTTGTTATGTTATCGGTAAGGCTATGGTCAACAGTTAGGCTATTAGTAAAGTTTTGGGGGAGTCAAATGTTATATGCAGGCTGGGCGTGGTGGCACATGCCTGTAATCCCAGCACTTTGGGAGGTCACGACAGGCAGATTGCCTGAGCTCAGTTTGAGACTGCTCTGGGCAACATGGTGAAACCCCGCCTCTACGAAAATACAAAAAATTAGCCAGGTATGGTGGCAGGTGCCTGTAGTCAGGTGCCTGTAGTCCCAGCTATTCAGAAGACTGAGGCAGGAGAATTGCTTAAACCCAGAAGGCAGAGGTTGCAGTAAGCCAGGATCATACCACTGCACTCCAGCTTGGGCAACAGGGGGAGACTCTGTCTCCACAAAAGCCAAAAAAGTTACATGCAGATTTTTTTATTGTGCAGGGGTTGTTATCCCTGACTGCTGTGTTGTTCAAAGGTCAACTGTAGATGACGTTCTAGTGGTTGAAATCAGAAGCCACTTCCAACAGGTTTGACTGTGGTTTTCATACCTCTACTGGTAGGAATGGGGCTGGTAAACCCAGACAAAATTTAGGGCCCTGTTTGACCAGTTGTTTTCTGAGACTGGAGAGATTTATAGCACTAATCCCTTTGCAATGAAACAAATAAATGCTGTATCTTTGGCCTCACCAGCAAAAAGGAGGCTCAACACAGTACCAAGACTCTATCCGTATAGGAGGCAGTACATGATGCCATCAATGGGGGCTCCCAGATGTGAACATGTAGAAACACAGGGACCAGCACAATCTTGTTTCATTCTAACTGATCTTATGCTTCTCTTAATGTCTGAGTGGCCTTGCATTATACCATGTATAGTAATTGAGGCTGACACTACTTGGTAACACCACTCATATGACTTAAATCCGTATATGATGATTTAAATCAGGTTTGACAATAATTCTGAACTAGAGTAACCTGGACCCTTTGGGGTTATGTACTTGTATGTTGGGAAAATAAGCCATATAAGGGCTCTCTATAGGGAACAGGGCATTTTTTGGCCCAGCTCTTGCACGCATAATTATTGGCAATAACACCACATATCAGCAGGTCAGTCAAAGCTCCCTTTCTTGGGTCATAATATATAAAAAATTGGTCCTTCACTACATTCTGGCTGCCTAACAAAAAGACCTATTGGTCCTCCATTGGAACTTACAGTTGACCGAGTCAAGACCTTGGATAACAGACTGAGGTTAACACTGTAGGTTGGCTTCATCCTGCTTCTGTGTCTGATGATAATAGCCTTCATTAATTGCTATGAGACCAAATGAACAAATGTGGTACTGGCTAAACAACTTTGACTGTCAGATTAATCAGAGTAGCTGATGGAGTGGCATACTCATGTGAAAATTCAAGTTAGCCCAAGAACATGTCAGGCTGAGGAGCAGACTGCTAGAAGAGATTATCCACTATGGACTCTGAGTATCCCTACATACTTACTAGGTATGCCAAGAATACAATACTTTATTTTTACCTAGTCCATGTCCCAGGCTTGTGTTTACACTAAGCAACCTTGAATATGAGGTAATAACTCACTTTGGACAAAGACCAGGATGTTTTTTTGCTTACTATAAAAGCAGTTACTATCCCAAGCTCAGTCTTTCTCTCTTACAACATAACCCACTGTGTGCAGGCTTTCATCATGGGCCCTTTGTGTTCTTCATATGGGAACTAGAAAAATGAGGAACTGAATAAAACCAACATGAAGCTCTGGCTACAGCTTTTGCTGTAAGAAAAGTCCTTTGTTTCTGACCCAGGTGTCTTGTGAATTCTGTAGCATCCCATGAAAGACTAACAAGCTAATTTGTTAGCTTATAAGTAGGGTAAAATCTCAGACCATGCACAGTTATTGACAGACATCAACTATTTTCTTCTTGGCGACAGCTAGCATTTTAGGCACCATGAGTTGGCTATCAATACATTTATTTTATTAGAAAGACATATTATGAAAAATTATTTTCCAAAGACTTAGCCAATAACACTACAAAAATAAAAAGCCCTCTAATTCCTGTGAATTTATCTGTGTGTGCCCATGTCCGGTAATTATTTCACTGTCCGTCTGAAGTACTAACAGGACTAAATCCAATGCTCGGCGCCACGCCTCAATCTTTGGTGTAACGACATCATAAACTCTTGGAATCTGCTCCAGTTTATTTGAAATGTCTGAATTAAAAATTCTACTATTTAGTTTACTATATTCATTCAAGATATAAGATGAAGGAGAGCCAGAGTCTGTGGCATTTTGCAGATGATGTTGAACGTATGTGCTGGCTTCAAATTCTGATGAGTGATTGGCAGTGTTATATAGGAGAGTTGAAAGGTATTTCTGCCATCCATTTGCCAGGAGTTTAAGCACAGTTGGTCTATATATTGCTAGAGATGAAGCCAGCCAAGAGGAAGTATTAGGGAACCACCCTGAGCAGGCATGATTTTCTTTTTTCAGAGATTGTTCTGCAAGAATTTGAAGAGAGCTAAGACACAAAAATTCAACTGCACCACCTCCAAGGAAGACCTTTTCCTCTTTTAGGGCATAATACAAACGATAGGCACAAGTCCAGAACCTATCTTCTTTGCTTTGCATCTGAGCAGTAACTGGACTAGTGAGCACAGCTGTAACCAAATTAATCCCTTCTATTTTTAATAAGATTGCAATTCTGTTGTTTGTATCTACAACATCCAAGGGACTGTTTCTCCAGAAGGTCACAGAGACCCCACTGCCCACACAATCTTCATTCACTTGTGTAATGTAGGCCACCTGTACTGCTCCTGCAGCCTCTGCAAAAGCCTGCATCACAGTGCCATTCACTGAGCCAATTACCAACCGCTTACTGTTTATACATTTTTCAATCAAGTGTTCAGACACATTTCCTTGTACCAGGACAAGGTTCACATTGAACTGGATTAATACCTGTAATATGTGATTTGCCCACAGTTCTTCTGAGCTGTCTTTTTGAAGCTTCATGCTATCTAACACTGTTTTAATATTTGTAGACTTATTAAATCCCAGGTGGCGATAATTCTTTGTGAGGTCACCTTCAATGAGAACTATTCGGACAGGCTGATTCTGCAATTCCTTAATCACAGTAGTATTAGATACTGAGACAACAGTGATATATCCTGGACAAACACAAGAAGTTGTTTCAGGTAAGCCTGGTAGACAGCACGTAAAAATTCTTGAAATGTCAAACATAAATGGTATCCTACAGTTGCCTTGTTGCACACAAGCATTCTGATATTGCAGCCGTACTGCTTCCTCTACTAACTTCATGCTGCTGTGATCTCCATGACTCAAGCCTACTGCCAACTCTATCAAATCTTTACATCTGTAAGTTTTGAGAGTCGCTGTAACATGTTCTTGAAATACATCTGGTTTGCTTACCCGTTCAGTATTATTTGTCCTATTAAAATGCCTACTGTGGATTAGTACTGACCTTCTGCAACAGGTATCTGCAAGCAGGCTGTTTTTCAGAGTTTGCGATGTGTTCTTATCTGCTTCAAACTCAGTCTGAGGTTTAAAGAATTCAGATGATTTAAGAGGCCTCCCAGAAAGATTGGAAATGGTCAGTGTTTGAGAGGTAACATCTTTGAGACTATGCTCTTCCTCTATCAAGTCAGTATTTGAAGGGCTCTGAAGAAAAGGACACAAACTTACATTAAATGTTTCAAGTTGAGAAAATGTCTTTGTGTTGTCCATATGGTCAAATACATTATGAACAGGTACTTGAAGAGAAACTACCTCTTCACTACAAAAGTTTAAGCCTTCTGACATTACTGAAACTATTATGGAAATGGGGACACCAAGATGAAGACATTCTTCAACTGCACTGCTCCAAGCACCAACAAGAAACAAAAGTGTACTGGCTCCAGTTCTATATGTGTTATTTTGTGCTTGAACTGCTTCACTGAGAAGCTGTCCCACTGCATCGGTTAAATCCAAACTTTCAAGAAGCCTTACTGTTGAACTGATTAATACACTTTCATGATATTCTTCATCTATAATAAATTTGGATGATTTTAGTGGGCCTAGGAAAGTTCTTCCTGTTTCTGCGAATGATGAAAGTTGTTGAAGTCCCATGTGTCTTCTTTTGTTTATGACTCTGCAAGCCATCACCATGTATCACGATCTGCAAATAAAATAAAAACTTGGAACTTTATTCAGTATAATTCATAGTTATAAATGCTATATAGAAATAAAAATAAGATATGGTCCCTGCTTTTGAGGCACATATAATTTCCATTAAAAGTGGTCAATGCAATGATACATATAATTCTATTAATGACAAAGCTATGGGGGAATGGAAGATAAGCACTCCATCCAACAGAGGAAATGAAGCATGAGAGCCGTAGGCAATGTTTCCAGAAGGCAGTTCTTGGAATGGGTCTTGAAGAATAACCGGAGAGTTACAAGTTGAAGGAGGTAGTAGTAAATGCACATATATGTGAAAAAACATAGTAAACAGAAGCAATCTGGTTTTATGAGAATATAAAAAAAATGTAGTGGAATGGCTGGGCTCAGTGGTTCACACCTGTAATCCCAGCACTTTGGGAGGCTGCGGAGGGTGGATCATGAGGTCAGGAGTTCAAGACCAGCCTGGCCAATATGGTGAAACCCCATCTCTACTAAAAATTTCTCTACAGAAATTAGCTGGGTGTAGTGGTGTGTGCCTATAGTCCCAGCTACTAAGAAGGCTGAGGCAGAAGAATCACTTGAACCTGGTAGGTGGAGGTTGCAGTGAGCTGAGATCGTGCCCCTGCACTCCAGCTTGGGCAACAGAGTGACACTCTGTCTCAACAACAAGAACAAACAATGTGGTGGAGAACAGTAGGAGATGAAGCTCCAGAAAAGAAAAGGAGTCAGTTTATGAAGGGCATTATGTGCATGGCAAGGAGCTTAAACTTGATCCTGCAATGGCCATTGTCCAGGTTGAAGATAGTTAGCATAGAATGGCGATGCCCAAACAATTGAAATGTTTCCAACACAAACCAAAACAGTCAACATTACCAGGTGATACAGACTATTTGTTTATTATGAAACTAGTAAACCACAGCATATTCCATTATGTATTATAGCACTACAAACATCCCTAGTTATTCCTTCACTTGTCCTTCATTTGTTCATGCATTCAGTGAGTATTTCTTAAGCACATACAGTGTACCAGGAGGCACCGTGTTAATTGCTGGCATTACAAAGATAAAGATTAAGTCACATACTCTGCTGTCAAGGAGCTCCGAATCTAATTGTGCAGAGAGATATGAAAATGAAGCATCAAAATCTATCGTGAGGAGTGCTGGGAACAAGTCTGTTCGAAGCAAGACACAACCATGGATTCATTCCACCACAGGTTCAATAGGAAAAGTGCATGGCATTTTTCAGAATAATGAATGCTTGACATGGCTTTCATCACTGTCTTTCAGTTCCATTGTTACAAGGGAGATCCCCAGCATTATGAGTCACAGCGAACCCAGAAATGATTAGCATTCTTTTTATTTTTTAGACAGGGTCTTGCTCTGTCGCCCAGACTGGAGTGCAGTAGCATGGCTCACTGCAGCCTTGACCTCGGGTGACTCTCCCACCTCAGCTTCCCAAGGAACTGGGACTACAAGTACATACCACTTCACCCGGCTAATTTTTTTTTTTTGTAGAGGTGAGATTTCCCCATCTTGCCCGGTCTAGTCTCCAAGTCCCAGGATCAAACAATCCTCCTGCCTAGGCCTCTCAAAATGCTGGGATTACAGGCGTGAGCCACAATACCCAGCCAGCATCCTTCTTTTTTTTTTTTTTGAGACAGAGTCTTGCTCTCTCTCCCAGGCTGGAGTGCAGTGGCACGATCTCAGTTCACTGCAACCTCTGCCTCCTGGGTTTAAGCAATTCTCCTTCCTCAGTCTCCTGAGTAGCTGGGACTATAGATGTACGCTACCATGCCTGGCTAATTTTTGTATTTTTAGTAGAGACAGGGTTTCACCATGTTGGCCAGGATGAACTCCTGAACCATGATTCACCCGCCTCCGTCTCCCAAAGTTCTGGTATTACAGGCATGATCTACCGCACCTAGCCCCAGCCAGTATTCTTAATGTTTGCCTACAAAGGTGCTTCTCTGTCAAACTCTTCCATTCACTTAAAGAAAACCATTTATGACTCATCGTAAAGAAAGCATGGTTACATTTGCCTTTTATTGCCAGATTTCTCTATTTGGCCTTATAGGACCCAAATGGTGGTGGCAGGTCAGAAGCTGGGGCATGGGACGTGTTCTAATAACATACAGTAAACAAGTAGGATAGAGACAGCTTGTCATTGCAGAGGTGCCTGACTGCCACTGAGCCTCACTCCTATACTCACATGCCAAGCTGTGCCCTTGGCATGTGCCTGTGAGGACTAATCCCACTTGGCCACACAGGGGTTTATGCTCTAGGGTCTTTGAAAGGAGAATTCCTGCTCTTCAACTTTCAAGCGTACGCCACATTCCAAGGGCTGCTTCTTCCTCTAGAAGAACTTGCTTTTCATTGGTCATTCATGATTTGGGTGAAAAGGTGGAGTCTGTAGTTCTTACTTGCTTAATGCAAAAGGCCTGACTATAGTATTGTGGGGCATCCAGCCACAGGCATGAAAAGGAGGAACAAATGTCTTTAACTTTTTAATGAACTGTTTGTTTTCCATAACAGCTGAACATTCCCACTGACAATGTATGAGGGTTTCAATTTCTCCACATCCTCACTGCATTAGCTTCCTAGGGCTGCCTTACCAAATTACCGCAAACAACTGGGTAGCTTAGAACATTACACATTTATTATTTTTATTATTTCACAGTTCTGGAGTCTAGAAGCCCAAATTCAAAATGTTGGCAGGGCTATGCTCCTTCTGAAGGATCAAGGGAAGAATCCTTTTTTGCTTTCTCCAGCTTCTAGTTGCTCCTGGTGGTCCTTGGCTTCTGACTGCCTAACTAATCTCTGCCTCTGTTTCATATGGTCTTCTTATAACCCAGTGATACCAGTCATTGGATTCAAGGCCCACCTTAATACAGGTATGACCTCACTTTAGCTAATTACATCTACAAAGAACCTGTTTTCAAATAAGATGACATTTTGAGATGCTAGAAGGACATGAATTGGGGGTAGCATGGGGGGAAATATTCAGTCTGGTATACTCAACAACACTTCCCATTTTTGCTTTTGTAACGTTATAGATATCCTAGTGAATGTGAAGTGGTATCTCATTGTGTTTTTGACTTGCATTTTCCTCATATTGAGCATCTTTTCATGTACATTGGCCATTTGTACATCTTTTTTGGAGAAATGTCTACTCAAGTCTTTTGACCATTTAAAAACAGATCAGTTAGTCTTTTGGTGGTAAATTTTAAGAGTTACTTATACATTCTGGACACTAGAGCCTTATCAAACTATGATTTGCAAATATTTTCTCATTCTGTAGGATATTTTCTACTTTTTTGAGAATATACTTTTGTTTTGATGAAATCTATTTTACCTATTTTTGTTGTTGTTGTTGCTCATATTATTTGTGTCATAGCTAAAAATCCATTGCCAAATCCAAGGTCATGAAGATTTATCCCAATGTTTTCTTTAAAGAGTTTTATAGTTTCATCTCTTATTTTAATTTATTGACCCATTTTGAGTTAATTTACATATACAATTTAAAGTAGGAGTCCAACTTTATTATTTTGCATGAGGATATAGAGTTGACCCAGTGCCATTTGGTGAAGAGACAATTCTTTTCCCAATTGAGTGGCCTTAGCATCTTTGTCAAAAATCAATTGGCCAGAGATGTCTATGGATTTATTTCTGGACTCTCAATTCAATTCCATCAGTCTATACATTCATCCTTATGCCAGTACCACATGTTTTTATTACTATAGCTTTGTAGTTAGTTTGGAAATCAGGAAGTATGAGATACCAAATTTGTTCTTCCCTTTGTTTAGCTTTTATATTTATGTTCATAATTCATTTTAAACTAACTTTTGTAAATGGTGTGAGGTAGGGTTTTTTCTTCCCTCATGGATACCAAGTTGCTCCAGAATAATTTGTTGAAAGGACAACCTTGAAAAGACAAGACTGACTTTTTGTTTTTCATTTCTAACATGTTATGAAAGCTTACTAAGTTTGAGGCATTTTACATGTATTATATAATGTAGCATTCACAACAACAAAAACATGAGGGAGATACTATAATCTATTTTAGTGATGTGGAAAATGAAGCAGAATAGTTACATAACATACACAAAATTTCACAGCTAATTTGTAAAAGGCTACGGACTAAAACCCAGGTTTGTCTAATGTCAAAGTCTATATAATTCTACCTTTTAGCTGCCCCTCATCCAGCACGATAGCAATTCACCCTCTCTTCTCTTGAATCTTTTACTGTATTTCCCTCTTCCAAACCTTTCTGCCTTTTTCCAAGCCTTATTCATACTCTTAACTTGTACATGTATCAGAGTCTCTGCTTATGATCTCCTTTTATACTATGTTTATTAAATCGTAAGACATTACTATGAGGAGCAAAGTCAGAGAGAACTTAGAGCAAAATAAAAAGTCATGGGCTATTTCAAATTTAATCTATTTAATTTATGTGAAAAAGTTTCCTAGATAGAAAAGGCATGAAGTTGTTTTAATACAACTAATGTATAAGAAAAAAGTCACATAAAACTAATATCAAAATCAATATTCAAGATAAATCTGCTTTGGCATTTAAAAAAACTATTCCAAGTTTTAGTAATTTTTTTAAAAAGTCTTAGCATTCCCAACTTTAGAAGAGCTCCTAAATTATTATTTTGAACAGGTTACAATTGGCTACAATTAAGATAAAATAAACACAAACAAAAAAAGCCTTATCCTCTAACAGATTGGGTATAAAAAGGCAAAAACAGCAAAGGGGATAAGAAAGTGATAATTTCAAAGATGATAAGTACTTCTGGCAACTCTTCATATCATTGCACAGACACAATCTGATTCTTGTCCTGCTATGCACCAGTGTTTTCCACAAACAGTTCTCTACTTGCCAGCTTAATGTTTCTTGGACTTTCTAAGTGTGTAATGGAAGAGCAGAGTCAGACTATTTAACTGGAATTTTGACATTAGAATAAGTTTTCTTTCCCAGAGATCATGTCCAGTTTTGTCTAAGGTACTCAGTTTAGAGTAATAAGACATGCAATGCTTTCAGGAGCTGCAGTTTGAAAAATAATAGTATTTTCTTGATGGGCATGATCAGTCTTTTCATCATCTAAATCAACTGTTTGCTCATCTCCAGTCTATTCCCAATACAGAAATCTAATCAAATCACTCTACTGTTTAAAAACCTCTAACTCAGAAAATAAAGCTTAATGCCTTTGACACAGGAGTCCCTTTTAAAAATGAACTCATCCTTTCACTCCTAGGCTCAAAATCTTGCGAGGCCTATCCATTTCGCTTAGAGTCAAAGTCAAAATCCTTACAATGCCCTAATTATCTGCAGTCCTTTCTTTACCCTTCTGACTTTATCACTATTTTATCCTTCAGCCACTTTGTTCTGTCCTCCTTTTTGTCATACTTTGCATGTTCCCTATCTTAATGTTTCTGTTCTAGTTGTTCCCTCTTTCTGGAATGCTCTTCCCCAGGAAATCTATTGCTGCATCATCTTCAAATATTTTCTCAAATTTTCTGCTTTTCAATGAGGCCCACTCTGAGCACTTTACTGAATACCACAAATCCTCTTGTTCCTCTGTAGTCTGGATTTCTTCCATCTGTTCAACTTTCTTTTTTCTATAACACTTATCCCCTTATAAAACAGGATATAGTTTACTTATTTATTTTTTATAGACTACATCTCTCTCTTGGAATGTAATTTCCAGGAAGGCAATTTTAGTCAATGGCATATATCCTGAGCACCTAGAATATTGCCTGACACACAGCAAGTACTCTATAAATATTTGGTAAATGAATAAATGAATTTTTTGTTTTACCATATTTGTTCCCCCAAATTTAAGTACAAAACTGAAGCAAGAGAAAACAGGTGCCACTTTTAGTATTTCTCCAACATAAATATAAGGTTCAACTACCCTTGGAGTTGACATGATTCCTATTTGGCACCACCTTAGTTGAGGCCTTTTAATTGCCTCGAATGAGGGTTCCTCCTTCACGTGGTGGTCAGAATTAGCACTGATAAAGCACAAACCTAAACAGATTACTCCACTGCCAAAAAACATCTATTTATCTTAAAAAAGAAAATCTTTACTCCTTGGCTTGATATATGTGCCTTATAATCTAACCTCAACCTAATTTATGACTCCTTTCCCTCCTTTCCTTATAACCCTCATAATCTTGTCACACTAGAACGTATCATTTATTTTCACTAAGCGATACTGATTCGAATATTCTACATTTTCTTCATCTCCATGGATGCTATAGAACTTTTATGACCCAAGGCAAATGCCTCATTTCCTATCAGGCCTTCTCTAATGCCCTAGAGTTGTCCCTCCTTTCTGTGCTCCCAAGGTACTTTCTATATCCATCGACTAAAGCAGATTAAAAAAACCCTGTATTAAAAACATTGTATTATGTTTGTGTCTCACTCCCCCACTAATCTGTAGATTCCTTAGTTATTCATCTTTTATATTCTACTTTTATTTTTTTCGAACGCACCAGTAGTTGTCATAGTGTATGTCATATAGAAAGCATTAAATACCTTTGGTAGATTTAAGAGTGCCTATGTGTTGAATGTTTTCTTGGATAATGATGATGATTAATGTTCTAAAGTGCAGTTAGATTCATTAATGGCTATTTTTCAAAACTGATTACATCCTACCTAAGATATAGGAATTGGAATCTGAGCCTATAATTAAAAAAATATTTAGCAGTAAATATTCCAAATATAAAAGCCTATATCATAGAGTGATAAAAAATAGGTTAATATACTACTCAGCCTTTTAATTGTCATTACATCAAACATGATCCAAGAGCTCCTAGAAATTAGGATTAGGTTGGGAATATACTTGGTATATTCATTAGGTTGGGAATATACTTGGTACTATTCATTTCTGGGTCTCAGAATCCCTTAATATTAGTATTAAAAATTAAGTCTATTATCTTGAAACTGTCAAGAGCAATTTTCCAAGTGAGAAAAATGACATGAAAATCATATACTAAAGTGACAACATTTTACTTAACTCAAAAATTATCTTGAATTTGCACCATTTTAATTTTCGCTGAGCAACTTTATATGGAAAAATCACCTGCAACATGAGGATAACCTTACCAATTTTCCAGAAGCCTAATGAGATTTTTATCAATGATTACAATGCTTGGGTGTCTGTCTGGGATGCCATATGAACAAGACGGGCTGACTGATGGCTTTGGAAAATGTGCCATGTTTCTACTTACTAAAGCATGAAAAGTAATTTGACAGAGTGCTTCAAGAATGCACTTTGCACATGTTTTCCTGCCCTACCTTCGGGGACATAAGTGAAACAAAAGAAAAAGACTAAAGTTAGTATTCCTCCTGAATCTATTTAGAATCCAGTATGGTTTTTAGAAAATATCTACTCTAGAGAAGGTTTGTAAGAGGCATAAAAGGGGTCCGCATGTGTGAGCAATTAAAGGTTAGAAGTTTTAAGATTCTGTCGTCTCTTCATTCTCACCAGGAGGTCAGTGGTCCACCCTACCTCAGTCTTTCTTCCCTGCCCTTTAAGCTGATTCCTAGCCAAATTCAGAACGGGCAGAACCTGCAAATCTGGCCCTCTGGACAAGAGATTGAATTGGTTAACACAAGTTTCACGAGTAAGTCTAGGCCGTTACTGAGTCAACTGGATAATCAGACTACCCATGTCTGACTCTGGAGTGCAGAACAATTTCATATGGTTGGACAACTGGCCAAAGGAAATGGCTGGGGATATGTATATGTGTGTTTGTGTGTGTGTGCGTGCGTGTGTGTGTGTTGGTGTTAGGGGGCGGGGTCCGATAGTAATAATGGGTGGGGCCAAAGTCCTACCTCAAAGGCAAATGCTACAGGCAACATATGTAAAAACATATGTAGTTATCTATGCAGTGAAGCTTTAACTACATCCCAAGACCCATGCTATCCCCAAACCGACGTTTCTCCAACGACACTGTTGTCCCACGCCACTGCTATACAGAAATTTTGGTGTCTACCATGCCAGAATCCCTGCCCAAAACAGACAGGACGTCAACGGCTTAAGGCCAAGCTCCAGGCACTGGAAAATGAGGAAAGTCAAGCGGCAAAAAGAAAGGGCAGTCCCCTCTTCCTCTAGCACTCCCAGCCGGACCAATTCACTCCAGGCCCTAGATTCTCATTTTTTCCCCGGCCCGAAAAGGGCAAGGAAAGCAAACACAAGGGCTCCCAAGTCTTCAGCAAAGACTTAGCTTAGCAGTCGGCGGAAGCGCTTCACTACTAACCTCGCTCCTTTCTTCTTTCCTACGGGGGGCTGGAGTTCCCGGCTTCCCACCGACCAGACGCAGTACTGGCTGGGACAGTAACACCAAAAACGCCAGGGCTAGGGCGCCCCCTTCCCCGCCGCAGTTTGCGCATGTGCGAAGGGGGGCTTCTGGTGGAACGGGTGGCTTGGTTGCTAAGAAACACAGCTGCAGAGGAAAGTTCCGCTTAACGCCGGGCTGCAAAAGGCGGGAAAATCGCGCTATTGGTAGAGAATAGAGAGAAAGGGCCGGTTCGAAGACTTTCTTTCCTGTCCATTGGATGAACTGGATATCAATCATTCAGGCTGGGTGGGAGGGGCTGAGAGAGGTCGGTGAAAGCGGCCTTAGCAACTGCGTGTGAGCTGTAAAGACTTGGGTTGAGAGGGGCTGCGGGAGGTGACGCCGGGAGATCGCGGCTTTGAGCGCCGGCTGGGGACCTGCTGAGTGTGAAGCTCTAATCTTCTGCTGGGGCCGTTGCTGAAGTTTTTACCCCAGAGCAAGGAAGCGATTGTGTTTAATTTACGCGCTGTGTTATTCCTTTCCTTTTCGTGATCCTCGGTGTCGTTAGTAACCTCCCCCAACCTCCTTTAGCCAAATGGAAGCGCATTGTCCGAGAGTCCAGGGACAGAAGAGCGACTCTCCAGTTTTTCCTCTCCTTAGTCCCATCAGCTGCTAGTACCCACAGTCTACAATAGGTTGGGTATAGAAGCCGCGCTCTTCAGCCAGAAAGGAACTGAGTACAGAGAATGAGATACGGCAGAACTGTTGGAGGACCTGAGGGGGCCGACTGTGAGCTCCAAGAACCACGGCCAGGGGAGCTCCAGACTCTGCCACTGTTAGGAAGGTGAGGATTCAGAAGGCTGCCCCTGGAATTATTGAGTTGAAAACCACACCAGTGCATGTGCAGTCCAGGGATCAAGAATCTACAGCTGCTAGAACCAACTCCTACCGCATGTAAAACTGGCGATCCACAGGAGTAAGGAAGGAGTGCAGTTGCTGCCACTGCTTCTTGACCCAAAGCTGGAGAGAATAGACTGCAGGAGAGGCTGCAGGAGAACCTGAGGAGTAATCCCAGGTCCCTGGAGTAGTTTTTCACCTGGAAAATGCAGTTTTTCCCTTTTCAGCCTCTGAATTATATAGTATAGCATGCTAGATGAAAGTGTTGGAAGGGATGCTGTGTTTCAATCAAGCATGTCCCACAAAATAAGCAAATTTTATTATTTAGACATAGGCATATATGAAAGTAAATATTTCTTAAACAACTGCCTTTCAAATATACCAAGTACATGTAAAAATTGGCACATTTTCAGATGTATCAAGTACATCAGAATTGCATTTTGACACAGTACCATCCGCAGTTCTAGGATGCCTTCCTTTGCCTCTTTTCTCTCTCAAAGACCCTAATTTTAAAGAAAAATTAACTGGTTAAAAAAAGAACCAGGTTATTCACCAAGACGTTGATAACCAAAAGCACAAATATTAACAAGCGGAAAAGGGGAACATTTTTGAGGTTCATTATATAGTAGGCAATCGGTACTTTAATAGTTTATTATCAATTATTTTGGTTCTGCTAACTATTCTAGTTATGTAGTTTATCTTTCACCCATGCGTGTGTATTACAGGCATCTAACTACCTTACACGTTCAGACTAATGGAAAAAAAGAGCAGCAAAAATTGAACCGAATGAATCCCAAAAGCAAGAAATTAAAGAGGCCCTTAATTTATTTGCTGTTGATGGGTCTGGAACCATCGATATAAAAGAACTGAAGGTTCTGAAATAATTTCTAATTCCAAATCATTTTTTAAAACCATATTATTTGTGACAATCTTTTTTCTTTTTCTTTTTTTTTTTTGAGATAGAGTTTCACTCTGTCACCCAGGCTGGAGTGCAGTGGCACAATCTCGGCTCACTGCAACCTCTGCCTCCCGGGTTCACTTGATTCTCCCGCCTCAGCTTCCTGAGTAGCTGGGATTACACCACACCCGGCTATCTTTTGTGTTTTTAGTAGAGATGAAGTTTCACCATGTTGGTCAGGCTGGTCTGAAACTCCTGACCTCGTGATTCACCTGCCTCAGTCCCCCAAAGTGCTGGCATTACCGGTGTGAGCCACCCTGCCCAGCCCATTCGTGGCAATCCTTAAGGCTTTCTTTAACAGTAGTCTTCTGAAAGCTTGAAATAAAGTCTCTTCAGTACATATGCCTGCCCTGCATTAACAAAACAATATCCTTGTTAAGCATTTTAATTGTGTTTTATAAATGAGTAGGCAAAAGCCCAGGTGTAACAGTAATGTACCTGATGACACAATAGGATTGGAACCTGCTGACCTAATTTTCTATGTTTATGCCCAGTCCATGGTAGAAAAGAGAGAATCTCTTAATAGGGAGTTAAAAAGCTTAGAATGAAATCATGGCATATTATAATTTATTTTCTTCCTATTTCAGATCTCAATGTGGGCCGTAGGATTTGAGCCAAAGAAAGAAGAAATTTACAAAATGATAGCTGGAATCAATGAAGAAGGAATTTTTATTGATTCAAATAAAAATGCACCATTAGTTTTGAAGATTTTTTTTACCATTATGAGTATAAAAATGGTATAGTTGTGATTTTATTTTTCAAAGAAATACTAGCAATAACCTGCTATATTTTAGGGCTGGAGCAGTCAGAGGCTTCATAGAGAAAGAAATGAAACTAGGTTTTTAAAGATGGGAGATAGGAATAGCAAGAATAAATATGTTTTCAGGGTAGTAATGAGAAGACTGTGATGTGGAGAAGAGGTTTTTGTCAGGAAATAATAAGGCTACATAGCAGGATAGAGAGAAATTTGGAAGCCTTGAATTCAGCAAACATAAAATATTGAGTGCCTGTTTTTGCCAGGCACTATTCTTTTTTTTTTTTTTTTTTTTTTTTTTTTTTTGAGGCGGGGTTTTGCTCTTGTTTCCCAGGCTGGAGTGCAATGGCGCGATCTCGGCTCACCGCAACCTCCGCCTCCTGGGTTCAGGCAATTCTCCTGCCTCAGCCTCCTGAGTAGCTGGGATTACAGGCACGCGCCACCATGCCCAGCTGATCTTCTGTATCTTTAGTAGAGACGGGGTTTCACCATGTTGACCTGGATGGTCTCGATCTCTTGACCTCGTGATCCACCCGCCTCGGCCTCCCAAAGTGCTGGGATTACAGGCTTGAGCCACCGCGCCCGGCCTCTGCCGGGCACTATTCTAAGGAGCATTGAAAGAGACAACCTTCCTGTTTTGAAGCTTACATTTTTGGTAATGGATCTGAATTACTAGGATTAATAAGAGACGCATTCTCTACCACCCTGTGCCTCTTCCACTTCAACAAGCTCTACATTTTAGCACCTTGAGGACAGATGTGAATACATAATTGTTAAAAGACCAATAAAGAAAATTAGAACTCAGCTACTTGGCACATTGCTGCTTTAGACCCCAAGGATCTAATCTGTTCAGCTTGATAAAAAAAAATGAATGAAAGACTAATAATGGTTGTTTTTTTTTTTTAAGAGTAAAAAAGATGAAAAAGAAGAAATATTGAAGGCTTTTCAATTATTTGATTATGATGATACTGGAAGTATAATACTAACCAGTATGAAGTTGCTAAGGAACTAGGGGAAAATTTAACATGATCAACTTCAGGTAGATTTTGCTTATTTTTATAATTATAATTTATATGTAATTATACATTTTTTTGAGACGGAGTCTTGTTCTGTTGCCCAGGCGAGAGTGCAGTGGCGCGATCTGGGCTCACTGCAACTCCACCTCCCAGGTTCAAGTGATTTTCCTGCCTCAGCCTCCTGAGAAGCTGGGATTACAGGTGCCCACCACTGCACCTGGCTAATTTTTGTATTTTTAGTAGGGATGAAGTTTTGCCATCTTGGCCAGGCTGGTCTCGAACTCCCAGCCTTGTGATCCACCCACCTCCAGCTCCAAAGTGCTGGGATTACAGGTGTGAGCCACCACGCCCAGCCACAAATTACACTGCAATTACTTTTGCACCAACCTAATAGCTTTACTGTTACTTCTTTGAAGATAACGTGACTTTTTAAAGTTCTGAGTGATTCTGTAAGACTAGTCTATTTGTGTTGGTTATTAGCAACTTAATTATGATGTATCCAGATGTGGTTTTCTTTATATTTTTATTCTACACAAGGTTTATTGAGTGTCTTGATTCTGTGGTTTGATGTCTTAGCAACTTTGGAACATTTTTAGAGCCAGCATTTCTTCAAATGTTGTTTCTGAGTCATCATATCCTCTTTGTTTCTAAGATTCCAATTATCAGTGTTAGACTTTACCAGTGTTTTTCACATCTATCTCACACTCTTTTCTATATTTTCCATCCCTTTGCCTCTCTGTGCTTCAAACTGAATATAGGTTACTTACTTGTTTTCTAGTTTACTGAAAGTTCTCTGTTCTGCTACATCTGATAGATTCCAGATTTTGTTGAAATTGTTGATATTTTCTTCTGTATTTTCTTTGTTGTTGTTGCTGTTGTTGTTTGTTTGTTTCCTTTTGAGACAGAGTCTCGCTCTGCTGCCCAGGCAGGAGTGCAGTGGTGTGATCTTGGCTCACGGCAACCTCTGCCTCCTGGGTTCAAGCCATTCTCGTGCCTCAGCCCCCTGAGCAGCTGAGATTACCTACGTGCACCACCATGCCTGGCTAATTTTTGTATTTTCAGTAGAGACAGTTTTGCCATGTTGGCCAGGCCGGTCTCCAACTCCTGGTCTCAAGTGATCTGCCCATCTCGGCATTCCAAAGTGCTGGGATTTCAGGTTTCCTCTGTTTTATTAAACACATTTATGATCTTAATTTTCAAGTCCCTGTCTGATTACTTCAATATTTTCATTATCTTTAGGTCTATTATTATTATACTTTTAAAGTGTAGCTTTTTATCTATTTGGTCCTGTTTTTTTAGCCAGATATGAGTGAAAAACTGGACAGCCTATAAATACTGTTACTTTCCTCCAAAGAAGATTAAGTTTTCTTCCAGCAGGTAGATAAGATATAAGAAGATCATTTTGATTCTTTGGAGGAATGAGAAATGGTTTTAGTCATTATTAGGCTTTTCTCTTTCAGATTTGCCCTTACTCATAGGGTTTCATACTTCTGCATCTCAATTGAAAGCCCAGGATATCTTTACTGACATACCCCTTCCCAAGCCCCTTTCATCTTACCTAGGCTTGAACTC